CGGACTTCAACTCCCAGAATTCCCCAGCCAGCATTCGCTGGCTGGGGAATTCTGGGAGTTGAAGTCCGGACATCTTCAAGTGGCCAAGGTTGAGAAACAATGATCTATAGGTTTTGTATACAGGTAGTTCTCAACTTACAACGGCTCACTCAGCGACTGTTCAAAGTTACAACAGCACTGAAAAAACTTACTTATGACCATTTTTCGCACTTATGACCATTGCAGCATCCCCTTGCTCACGATTTACATTCGGATGCTTGGCAACTGACTCACCCGTTTACGACGGCTGCAGTGTCCCAGGATCATGCGACCTCCCCACAAGCCGAGTCCAGATTCACTTAATAACCGCGTCACTCATTTACCAACCGCAGCGATTCATTTAACAAATGTGAAAACGGCATCATCAACGCCCCTCTGCCCACGAGGACTGCAGGGAGAGCCCCCTGCATAAACCCCTGGGGACCATGGGGGGGGAGGAGGAGGGGGGGCTGCCTCTGCCTTCCTCAGCTGCTCTCAAGGGCTCCCAGGCAGCCTGGAATTGCTGGGCTCCCCTCCCTCCTCACAACGCCCCCAAGCCCATTCCCACCCGGGGGGGGGGGGAGAGAAACATCTGGACCCACTGCACATACAAGCCAAATATTCATCACACAGATGCCGACGTTTTATTTGAAGCTCCTTGGCTTACACGTAATGGAGAAGGGGGGAGAGGCGGCCATCTCCGTTCATCCCACCCTCAAAATAAAAACAGAATTGCACAATCTGGACACCCACCCCCCCCCACACAAGCGGCCACTTCAAGGACGCCATAAAAGTCCAGGTCTAGTGATCTCCTGGGTTCCTGCTTCTCCCTCTGAGGAGTATCTATGAAGTGACCGTCTCCTTCTAAGAGCAGCCTTTCCTTCCGGAAGCTTCCAGGAGGGCCCAAAGAGTTCAGCAGAGGGACGCTCTCACCAGGTGCTGAAGGGCAGAGCTTGGCCTCCCCGCAGCTTTTCCTTTTCCTACTGAAAAACAAATGAATTTGGGAAGGAAATATGGAATAGCCCCCTCCGTGTCTCCCTGCCTCCCTCGAGGCCTTTGGCTTCTGGCCAGCCCCGGCCCCCTCCTCTGCTCCCCTCCCACTCTGGGTCCCAGCCCCCCAGGGACTTCACGGGCAGGGACTGGGAAGGCCTCCTGGGGAGTAACGGCTTAAAAGAAACTGTGCCGGAGTCAGAAGCTCCAGGGACGGCTGGGACCCCGATTCGCAGGCCCAACACTGGGGGGTGCCAAGAGAATAAACAGAATTTCAAAATGTCTGCAGCGACTCCCAGCCATGCAGGTGATGGTTGCCTCGAGGGTGCTTTTTCCAACAGGCAACGGGGCCATTGTCTTTCCTTGAGGAGGAGGAAGAAAACGAAGAAGAAGAAGAAGAAGAGGAGGTGTCACTTCTGATCCCAGAATCTCCCTTGTTCCTGGCATCTGGCATCCATCCTCTCATCCAAGTTGAAGCGTCTCAGATGAGAAGCAAAACCTCTTCTTCTCCTTCTTCTTCCTCAGGAGGGAAAACAGCCCAGTTGCCTTTTGGAGAAAAAAAAACCTCCTTTGAGACAATGAAGAATGACAAAGTTAGGAGGGACTTTGGAGGTCTTCTAGTCCAACCCTCTGGTCAGGTAGGAGACCCCATGGCTGTCCAGCCTCTTCTTGGAAGCCTCCAGTGATGGTGCTCCCACAACTTCCCTTCCACTGGCTGATTGTTCTCCCCGTCAGGAAATTCCTTAGTCCCAGATTGCTTCCCTCCTTGGTAACTTTCCACCCGATGCTTCTTGTCCTGAGGCCCCCAGGGCCTTTGGAGGATAGCTTGATCCACCCTCTTCCTTGGGGCAACCCCTCAAATGCCGGAAGGCTGCTATCATGTCACCCCCCTGGACATACCCAATCTGTGAATCTGTTTAGTTTAATGAAAAGAAATGAGGCAGAGTCTCCAAGGTCTCTCTCTCTCTCACACACACACACACCCCAGCCAAGGAAGTGCCGGCTGTGGATGAGAACAGCCAACTCTTGAGAAGACCGACTGAAGCTCAGCAGCCTCACCTGGGGAAGCCGTCACTTCTCCTCTTGATGAAGGGCTTCAATGAAGACTTCAAGCTTCTCCTGGATCTCCCGGACTTTCTCTGGAAAAGACCCAAGTTCCTGCCTTTAGGCCCAGAGGAGGAGGAGGAGGAAGAGGAGGGAGGCTGCGCAGGGTCTCAGATTCCTCCTCTGCCCCACCCATTGTCAGGGGACAAACTGTAGGCAATGTGGCTCATCCAGATGTGCTTCTTCCCACCTGCTTCGTCCTAGGACAGGGGTCACCAAACCTGGCTACTTTAAGACTTGTGGACTTCAACTACTACAATTCCCTGGCCAGCATGGCTAGGGAATGGCTGGCTAGGGCATTCTGGGAGTTGAAGTCCACAAGGCAAGTCAGAGATTGCTGACCAGATGAACTGGACAGAAAGCTGGGAAGACCTTAAATTTGGGACACCCGAATTTCATTTAGTAGAGTTTTCATTTAAATCTTATCATTTTAGTAAACGCTAAATAGCAATGGGAAAAAAAGTTTGCACGATTGTGTTCGATAGCATGTATTATTTTCCTTTCCTGAAAATCCCAGAAGTGCAATTCAAACACACACAAATTGAGGGGGGCTTCAAGGAAGGGGGTGTGAGCAAAATCCTGCCCCCGCAGCAGTGAAGCCCTCTATCAGCCAACTCCGAAGGGTTCCCCCCCTGCCCTCACTGCTTCTCCAGTAGGCAGGATCTGCCAAAGGCCTTGGACTGGGAGCAAGTGGAACATTGGGGGGGGGGGAATCAGCTCCCCAGGAAAGTAATGAGCCTTACCCATCGGCCGTGAGAGGAGGCCTGGGATCCCTCTGGCAGGGAGGGTGCCAGGGGCAAGATTGGTGGCTTGGGCAGAAGAGCCGCTGGGAAAAGCAGCCATCCTCCCCCGCCGTCTCCCTGGCAGAGCCCGGCCCAAGACTGGAGGGAGACTCAGGGCAGATTCTGGACCTGGGAGGCAGCGAGGTGCCCGGCTGGCAAGAGGCAGCCCCTGTCCCTGGCCTCATTTCCTCGGGGGGCCCTTGAGCTGCGCCAGTCTGGATTCTGTGCCCACCCAGAGCCCTTTTCCTGCTTTGCCATCTTGATTCCCTTTGTTTTCTGCCCACCTTGCCACGAGGCAGCCCCCTCCTGCTCCAGAGGTGGAGGAAGGACACCAGACAAGGCCCCTTGGGGGGAGGGAGGGAGAGGAACACCCGGGTTCTCCCAACACCTGTTAAACAATCCCCCCCCAGACCCAGAGCCCCCGTCCCAGCCACAAGAAGCTTCTGCAGCAGCAGCAGGCAGGGCTGCCGGGCTGTTTGCAGAAGAGATGAGCTGGCCCAGTGCCCCTTCTTCTCCCCAGCCCCTCATCATGAATATCCCCCTAATCCTTTCACCCAACATCCCCCCCACTCTTCCCGAGACAGAACGGAGGCGGCCTCGGCCATTCAGCGGCTTCAAGAGGCCCCTTCATCTCCCCACATGAAGCCCCGTCCTCGTGGGCCGCTCTCGTCTCCTTGGCATTAATCCCCTGATCCGGGGCTCAGCAACAGGCTAATTGATCTGTAATTAGGGCCTGAATACACAGGGAGAGCCGGCCGAGGGGGGGGGCCCAGCCTTCAAGCCCCACCGCCCAGGAGGGGGAACCACCCGGGCCTTGCAAAATGCAGCCCTGGGCATCCCTAAGAACCAGCCCATCAGAATAGAGCGGGAAGGGACCTCGGGGGTCTTCCAGCCCAGCCCCCTGGCCAAACCCTGTGCCAGTTCAGACAAGTGGCTGCCAGTCTCTTCTCTGAAACCTCTGGTGATGGAAGCTCCCACAACCCCTGGAGGCCAATTCTGTCCCACCGCTTAACTGTCCTCACTGTCAGGAAATTCCTCCCTAGTTCTAGGTGGCTTCTCTCCTTGATTTAGTTTCCATCCGTTGCGTCTTCTTCTCCTGCCTTCTGACGCTTGGGAGAATAATTTGGCCCCCTCCCCTTTGGGGCAGCCCCTCAAATACTGGAAGACCGAAGTGGTGCAGTGGTTAGGGTGCACCACTGCAGGCCACTTCAGCTGACTGCTATCTGCAGTTCAGCGGTTCAAATCTCACCGGCTCAAGGTTGACTCAGCCTTCCATCCTTCCGAGGTGGGTGAAATGAGGACCCGGATTGTTGTTGGGGGCAATATGCTGACTCTGTAAACCGCTTAGAGAGGGCTGAAAGCCCTAGGAAGCCGTAGATAAGTCTAATAAATAAATAAATAAGACTTGCTATCTTGTCCCCCCCCTGGTCCTTCTTTTCCCTGGACTGGCCAGACCCGAATCCTGCAACCGTCGTATGTTTTCCCCTGCAGGCCCCTGGTCCTCCCAGCTGCTCTTCTCAGCACTTTCCCCAAGCCACGGAGGAAGGGCTGCGGGGTTTGGCCAAGGCTGCTTGGGAGGAGGGTCCCCGGGGGTCCCCCTCTTCTTCACAGCCCAGGGGAAAAGGCCAAAGCAGGAGGGAAGCCACCCAGGACGCCCCTGGGCAGGCAGAGCACACCATCCATCACTGGCCGGAACAGATTGATGGGCATCCCCCCCCTGGCCCCTCCCTCCAAGGCTGAGAACCAGATGGGGAGTGAATGGGGCAGGCGGTGGTGGGTCAAGGCGGGGCAGGCAGGGCCGACTGTCGGAGGCGTTTGTGCTGCCAGCTGAGAGAGGGGTCAGGACAGGAACAGGGCGGCCAGGCAGGGCCTGGGGGGAGGGCGGGGGCTTTCTCGGTTGGGCTACAAAGGCCGGCCCTCTTCCCTGTCCCCCTGTGGGGAGGGAGGAAGAAGGGCTTGTGCAGCCTCTGCCACCGCCTGGGATTCCCCAAGAGGCCGAGAGGGAGACGGGAATTCTTCCCCCATTAGCTCATCGTGGCCAGGAAGCCCCGGGACAAAAGCAGCCAGAGAGAGGCCCTTTGAGTGGGGGGGGGGCCCTTCAGGAAGAGCCACCCCCTTAATCAGGGCGAGGGGGGCACCCGGGGGAGGCTGGCACCCCTCACTGGCAGCCACTCAAAGGCCCCCTTGTCAGCCCCTGGGAGGGGAAGCACCTGATGCCAAAGGCCTCCGGGGGATTTCCCCCTCGGGGAGCCGGGAAAATCAGGGGCAACCCCTGGAACACGGAGGTCGGGGTCGGCCTCCGCCTCTCTCCCACTGCCTAAAATCCCCCGGGAAGAGGGTCTTGGCCAGGACAGGCTCCCACCAAGTCCAAGCTGTGCTTGGAGACGGCCGAGAAACTCCCCCCCCATGACCCCCTCCTCTGCACCCTCAAGGGAGGGCACGAAGGTCCCATGGGGGGCAACAGCAGCACCAGAAAACGGGGCTCAACAACCTCCACAATCTTTTAAGGTTTTAACTCTCAGGATTCCCCGGCCAGCGAAGTTGCCCAATTTGCAGAGCCTGGCTATGGAAGGGGAGGACGGAGGGCAGAGGCAGCGGGGAGGGCACCGTCCTGGCAGCTGAAGGGATCCACAGGCTGCAGGCGGAGGGGGGGGGGCAGCCGTCCGGTTAAGCAACACTCTGAATCAACACCAGACGGTCTTTGTCACACAAACATCCCAAACGCACAACCGTCCTCACCACCGTTTCTTGAGTGACCATTTGAAGGCCCTGAAACAGTGACGCGGCCACTGCGGCCTTCCCAGAGCCTCAGAGGGATGGGAATTCAGAGGCCACTGACTCGTGACGGTTGCCGTGTCCCAGGGTCACCCGATTCACTTAAAAACCATGTAACTCACTTAACAACTGCGGCGATTCACAACAACTGTGGCTAGGAAGGTCATAAAATGAGGCAAGACTCACTCAGCGCCTGTCTGTTGTGGCCCACCCATACCTGGTCAATGTGCAGGAGAGGAGGGTGAGCCCCCCCCTGCCCTTCAACAGCCTCCCCTTTTCGCTCCTCTCTCCAAAAGGCTTCCTGCCTCTTCAGCCCCTGGCAGCCCCCGACCACCCCCGGGCAGAGGCTGGGATCTCTGTGGGGGCTGGATCAGCCACGAAGCAGGGCTTCTCATGACTTCTTTGCGTCCTTCTCACAAGCCCCCCTCCCCACCGCTTTAAGGGGGGCAAAGCTCCCGAGTAGCCCCCCGAAAGAGTCCGAGGCCGGCCTTGCTCAGGAGGGAGGGGCGGGTAGGGAAGGACCCCACCCCTTCCTCTTTAGGCAGGCAGCCATCGGATGCCTGGAGCTCAGCTGCCGAAACCTCACTCGATCCTGAAGAGAGGAAGCCCCCCTCCTCCCCCAAGACCCCCGAGAAGGAGCCTGTTGGGGCCTGGCTCAGGGTCAGCCAAGGAGCCCAGCACTCAACTGGGAGGGGAGGGGGCTTCCCAGGGGCCTGTTGATTTCCCTCCTGGAAGAGAGGAAGCCAAGGCCCAAGGGGGGTTCTGGCAGGATCCAGAGGGGGGGGGGAAGGACTGGGGAGGGAGCAGCACAAAGGACTGCCTTCTTGGGGGGGGGGGCAGCCCCTGCAGAGTCGAAGGGCCTTGGGTGGGGGGGCTGCATGTGGTGAATGATGGCTGGGCCTCCAGGCAAGATCCCGGCTGAAAAGCCCCCCTCGGCCTCAGGCAGGTCCCGGCAGGTGAGGGCCTTGGTGGGCCAGGAAAGGCTCCTCCTGCAGGAATTCAGCTGGGGGGTCCCCAGCACAAACACCCAGGGAGGCTCTGCTCAGGAGCTGCTCCCCCCCCTCCCGGAAGCCCCCCAGCCCTTGGCCTGGCAGGGCAGGAAGCTGGCTGCCCCCCCCCCCCGAAAGTATCTGCCTTTCTTTTGGGGGAGGGGAGAACACAGCAGCCCCTCTGGCAGCTGGGCGAAGGAGACCCACCCCCCAGTCCAGGGACTCTCCCCCCCCTTTCGCCTGCCTGCAGGAGGGGGCCATGGGGAGGGGCGTTCCTGCTGGCCAAGAACGGTCTGAAGGTGGGCCATGTAGGCAGCCCCGCCTGTCCTGGGGGTTTACAAGGAGGAGAAGCAGCCCTGGAGCAAACAAAGGAGCCCCCCCCCCCCCCCCCCCACCCAACAGGGCAAGCCTCTGCTGATGAACAGAGAGCAGAGCCCCCTCCCCTCTAGCCATGGCGGCTTCCTCTAATCGGGTAAGGAAACGTCCCCAAGGAAAGCACAAAGGACCCCCCCCCCAATTGTCCTCTCCTTCCTCTTCCCCCTCCCCTTTGCAAACCCTCCTAACTCTGATGAAGTTACCTAGTTGGGTAATGAAATGTCTGCAAGAAAAGGGCCAGGCTGAGAGAGTCGCACAGCAATTCCCTCCCCCTGGATGAGCCACAGGATCCGGGGGGGCAGCCACACCGCAAGGCCTTGAGTGGGCGGGGGCTCAGAGGAAGCGGGGACCCCCGGGGGCTGCAGACGCAGAGTCCCAGGGGGTCCGCTGAGGAAAAGCCCAATCCCCACGCGAAGGGCCCCCTGGGCTGAGGGGTGGGGGTACTCACTGAGGTCCTCGGCCAGCTGCACCCGCTTCCCCGTCAGGAGGGTCATCTTCTTGCCAGAGTCCTCCGCAAAGTCCTCCAGCACCTCCTTGACGTTCTTCTCCAGGCGCCTCACTGCAGGGGGGGAGGGGGGGAGGGAGGGAGGGAGGGGCTCAGTTTCAGCACAAGGGCCTCCCCCCTCCCCCGAGGCCCTGGACTGGGCTCCGTCTCTGGATCTCCTCCGTCCTCGGGGCCCTGCTTGTCCCAAGAGGCCATGGGACTTTCTCATCCTTTCCTCTGAAGAGGTTTTGCTTCTCCCCCAAGCAGCTTCTCCAGCTCTTGAGGTCTCGGAGGAGGAGATGCGAGAGGCCTTCAAGGGAAACCGACAGACCCACCCAAAGCCCCCTTCCTTGCGGGGGATGGGCATGGGAGGAAACCGGGGGGGGAGCCAGAGCCCCCCCCTCCCGAGGGCCCCGGCATCCAGGGGCCTCTAGACGGCTCTCCAACCTTGGCAGCTTTAAGGAATCCTGGGAGTTGAAGTCCAGAAGTCCCAAAGTCGCCATGGCCGGAGCCCCCTGCGCTGGGGAGGGTGGCCTTCAGCCTCCAGGGCTCAGCACCCGGCAGGAGTGGAGGCAGCGATGCCAGGCAACCTCTGGGAAGGGCAGGTTTCCCAGCTCCTGGAGGGGCAAGGCCCTCCCCCCTGCAGCCCAGGCGGCCTCTGTCTGCCCCCCCCTCCCCAGAGGTCCAGAGAGAGAGAAAGGGAGGGGCCCTACCTTCGGTGTTGGCCAGCTGCTGCCGGAGGGTGTTGGCGGTGATGGCCAGCATGCGCTGGATGCGCCAGAAGAGAACCACGTCGTTGCACTCCAGCTGGAGGACCAGAAGGAGGACCATAGCTGCTCATTGGGTTTGAAGGGTGGAGGGGGGGGGCTGCAAATCCAGCCCAGCCGGTGAGTGTGTGGGGCAGGAGGCCGGGAGATCAGTCAGGGCAGCCGTCAGAGGATCCCACCCGCAAACGGCAGCTCCCCCCAAAGGCTACCAAAGCCTCCAAGGGACCCTCTCTGGGCTCCTCTTCCGGCTCTTCTGCTCCTTCCACCCGGCCTATTTATCCACCTGTACGGACATTACAGCAACAGGGCCCCCAGGAGGGCTAAAAAAACAGCCCCCTTCCAGCCACCCCAAGGGGAGCCTGGGGGCTCTCTAGGCTGCCCGCTGAGGGAGGACATGGCTGAGCTTCGGACCTTCTTCCTACCGACTGCAGGGGCCCCTGGGGCCCCCTGAGCTGGGCAGCCTCCTTGCAGGCGTCACACGGATGAGGTTCCCTGGTTGGGCCATGGGATGCCTGCCAGGGAAGCCCCGGGGGAGCCTCAGCTCAGCCCTGAGACTGCAAGGGTTCTCCCTTGGGGGGCTCCCCGGGGTCTCTCCCTGCCCTGGGAGCGGGGAAGAAGGCTGCCCTTCCGAGGTCCAAGAGGGCTTGGCCGCAGGAGTGCCGGGCCGGGTGAGCCAGGGAGCCCCGTTTTGCACCAGGCAAGAACAGCTGGAGCCAGGTGTTCGCTGCAAGGCTGCCCCCTGGTGGAACAGCACAAGAGTGCCGTCCCCTTGGAGCACATCCTGGCTGGGCAGCAGGAGAGCCTCCCCCCCCCCCCCGTGGCTCCCCCCCCACCCGCTGACCTCGGAGTCCACGAAGTGCCTCTGGTAGTAGTAGAAGCCCCTCCGGCAGAGGTTGCAGTGGCCCAGGGCGGCTTTCAGGAAGTGCTGCCTGTAGACCTGGTGCCAGGTGTCCTTGATCTGGGAGCAGAGGGGCAGCTGGGTCAGCTGGATCAGCCCTGGGACACCCTGGGCACAAGGCTGCCTCCCCCTGGGCCTGTGTGGGATTGGTTCCTACTGTCCTCGGAGGCCCTTGTGGATGACCCTTCCTCTGCCTCTCCTCCCCTCCGGCCTCTGGGACTCTTTCTCCTGGGAGCCCCTGGGAGGGGGGGGGGCAGCTGGGAAAGTCCTGGAGGGCCTGAGCTTTAGGAAGCCGACGCCCGGCAGGGAGGGAGCGGGAGGAAGGGGTGGGTGGGTGTGGAGACCCCCTTCCTTAGGTCCTTCTCCTCAGCTATCAGGATCCAATGGCCCTCATGGGGACTGCTAAGCCCACACAGGGGAAGCCAATAATCACAGAGTTGGAAGGGACCCTGGAGGTCTTCTAGTCCAGCCCCCTGCTCAAGCAGGAGACCCTCTTCCATGCCAGACAAAGGACTGTCCAGTCTCTCCGACTCTAACCGGTCCCTTCTATCTCCAAAGCCTCCAGGCAAAGGTTTCCCATGCCCAGCCGTGCCGGACTCCACCCCCCCCACTCATCTCTGTTTCTCAGCCGAGGGAGCCAGAATTGCCCACTGAGCCCCTTTGTGGCTGTGCATTGAGGCACACAGAGCACTACGACCTTCCTACCAAAGTGGTACCTATTTATCTGCTCACTTTCAGGCTTCTGAACTGCTAGTGGGCAGGAATTGGTGTGTGTGGGGGTGAGTAACCCCATCCCGTGGCGCCTGGGTCTTGAACCCGGGCTGTCAGCTTCCCAGCTGAGGTGAGAAGCTCATCGTCTTTAACCACTGAGCCTCCAGGCCCTCAACAGATCCTGGGCTCCTCCCACCTGGGCAGCCACGTGGCCATCAGCCGGGGCGGGAGACCCTCCAGGACAGGGGCCTCCAACCTTGGCCAATTTAAGCCTGGAGAACCTCAACCCCCGGCTTTGCTGGCGGGGGAATTCTGGGAGTTGAAGTCCGCCAGGCTTATAAAGTGGGCAAGGCTGGAGGCTCCAGGGGAGCAGACTTGGCAGGGAGCGCATCTCTTCCCCAAAGCCCACCTTCCCTGCCTCTCGGGGGTCCCAAAAAAGGTCGCAAAACGAGACGCCTTACCAAGCAGGGGTCCACCGCCACCCCTCGGGCCTCCAGATTCTTCCGGACGGTGGTGACCTCGTCGTTGGCCAGGTAAGCCGGATGCTCCTCATTGCATTTCATCATCTTCTCCAGCTCGTTTTTGGTTTCGTTGCGGATGTTCTGGCATGCAAGGAAGAGAATTTCCTCCATGGCCCCAAGCGTTTCGGCTGCTCCAGATGGGACCCTCCAGAACCCCCCCAAAAAATTTCCCCCTGGGCTTCTGACCCCGTCACAGGTCAAGGGGGAGGGCAGCCACTCAGGGGCCTTCGGGAAGCCCCCCAAGCCCTCCGCGCTGGAGGAGGAAGTGCCCCACAGAGGGAGGGAGGCTGAAGGTCCCACCTCCAGCGTGATGCCCTCTAAGGAAGGTCCAGGAGACACGGCGGGGGAAGCCTGTTCGCCAAGGGCCCAGGAGCCAGAGGGAAGGCCACCCTCCGAGAGGCGTGACTCGCACAGCCGGTCCCCCTTCAGGGTCTGCTGCAGCCGGCCACGATGGGCCGGGAGGAAGAGCCGAGAGCCACTTTACCTGCTCTTTGGTGCGCATCACCCAATACAGCCACCTCTTCCTCCAGTCCGGCCCCACCATGTCTTCAATGACGGATTCCGCTAGGCAGAAGGGAGACACGGCCCTCCTCAGTCCCGGAGTCCAGAAGCAGGATAGAAGGGGAGCACAGCCACATCCCAGAGGGGGCTGCCAAGGGACACCCTCCTTTCCGAGCCCTGAGCCCCACTTTTGCACAAGAAGCAGCTGTGGCTGGGCCTTCAGAGCAGCAGCCATGAGGGGGTCCAAGAGAGGCTGAAGGCCCCAGGAAGGAAGGGAGGGAGGGAGGGAGGGAGGAAGGGAGGAAGGAAGGGTAATGAGACGGAAGGGAATGACAAGGAAGAAAAAGAAAGGAAGAGAGGAGGGAGGGAAGGAGGCGTGGAGGGAGGGAGGGAGGGGCACTCACTGTCCTTCAGGCGACTCTGCAGGGTCTCCTCCATGAACTGAATGGCGGCGTCCCACTGCTGCTTGTCGGAGATCGACCTGTCCTCCAGGGCGTTGTGCTGGATCACCCTCTGGCAAGGCAGAGCACAGGCATCAGGAGGGCCCCTCTTCCCGCCCCCCCCCCGCCCCAAGGGAGTGGAGGGGGGGGAGCCCTACCAGGCTGTCCTCCGCCCGCTCGTTCCACTTGTGCCGCTTGATGCTCTCCTCCTTCACGGCCTGCTTCAGCTTGTCGAAGATGTCGTCGTGCTCCCTGGCCTTCTGCTCGGTCATGAAGCGAGAGAACTCCTCCTGCAGGGTCTCCCAGGCCACCTGCCCAGGGGTAGGAAGGGCACCATGACCAACGGCAGGCAAGGCACCCCTGCCCTGCGCCCTCGCGCTCCGCTTGCCAGCCCCCCCTTCCCCCCGGCTCAGATCCCATCTTCTCCAGGCGTGGACCACAAGGGCCCCTCCAAGCCAAAACCTTTGGATGGGAGCTTGAGAGGGGAGTGGGATCCTGGCCACTCCTGGCCCAGGACCACCGCTCCTCTGCAGCAGAGGCCTTAAGACTTTCCAACCAGCTCCTAGAATTCCCCCGTCAGCCTTCGTGCCTGAAACCTCAGATCCGGCTTTTCCCTTTCTTGTCACCACTTGGCTTTGGTGAAACCATCCCTTTTGCTCCAAAAGCAGCCGAAGGCGGCTCTTTCCCAGGCACAGAGGGGCAACCTCCTCTGCTACTCGGCTTAGGGCCAGCCTAAGGCGGGAGGAGGGGGGGGGATTTTTCATGGGGCCGGACGCAACTCACCTCCACGGCCTTGTTGGGCAGCTGCTTGTCAGTCCACTGCTTGAGCCTGATGTCCACGGTGGTGTTGAAGGTGCCGGCGTTGAGAGACTGGGCTGCTGGAAGGTAGATGTTCTCGATCACGTGGGTGGAGACCCTCTCCCATAAACTCTTCTGGAGGATTTCCTCCCTGGTGGGGAAAGGCAGGGAGGGATGAAACCAGCGCCAGGGAAAGAGGGCAGAAAGTTTCCACAGGCTGCCCAGATTATAACCACAATCGTCAGCAGAGTCCGACAGTACAGGTGGTCCTCGACTTACGGACATAGTGGAGCCCAAAATTTTCATTGCTAAGCAAAAGGATTGTTAAGTGAGTTTTGCTCCGCTTTACGACCTTTCTTGCCACACTTATCAAGTGAATCAATGCGGTTGTTAAGTGAATCTGTCTTCCCTATTGAATTTGCTGGTCAGAAGGTCGCAAAAGAGGTTCGCGTGTCCCCAGGACACTGCAACCGTCATAAATACGAGTCAGGTGCCAAGCGCCTGAGTTCTGATCATGTGACCACGGGGGTGCAGCAACGGTTGTAAGTGTGAGAAACGGTCAGAAGTCACTTTTTTCAGTACCGTTGTAATTTTGAACTGTTGTAAGACGAGGACTTCCTGTATATCTTCTGCTTACAAAGGAAACTCTACAGCAGCTCAAAATATTTCATAATATCCACTCCAGAAGTCCCGAGGAGGATGGGAAGCGACCCGAAAGGCAATCTCACCTCCTTTGTTATTCTTGCAATAGATTTCTCCATGTGGATATAAGGTTTTTGTCTTTTGTTCTTTTTAATTCATTTTTTAAAATGATCTGTCTAGCTTTGTTTTCTCTGTGTTAATTTTTCCTTTCGGATTTTGTATTTTAATCTTTTGAATAAAATAAAAAATGAATTAAAAAATCAGAAAACGAAAGGCTTTCTAAGAATCTCTTTGTCTTTTGGTACAACTATCTTCTGAAAGTGAGACCCAGGAAATTACATTTCAGCTCGCAAACCAAACTCCTTGTGCTCTGGTATAAACACACGTTTCCATTTAAATGGCCACATCAACGAACAAAATTAATGTCACTGTAAGCAAAATTATCCCATGGACTCCAGGAGCCTCGACTCCCATTGGGGGAAGGGAATGTAGCCACGACCCCAACCCAACCCCAAAGCTCTGGCGACTTCAGGCGACTTCCATGAAAAAACGATTCAGGGAACGGCGCTGGGGGTTGGGGGGTATTTGTGGGAGGTTTGTGTGAGAATGCTGGGAACCGAAGTCCACCGGTGCTAAAGCGGCCAAGGTTGGAGCCTCTGATTTAGAGTAAGGCATCACCCCAGTCTGAGAGGATGGATAATACACAAGAAAGCAAGACGCAAAGCAACAAGGAATTTGGGATCAAGTAGGAACCGCTCCGGATGGCTCTGGAGGCAGGGAATTGGTAGGGTGGGGAGGGCAGCTTTGAGAGTCCAAAGGGTGGATAGGAGAGTCCTTAACATCCTTCTGCCAAAGGGAAAGGAAGGGAAGCTGCTCCCTGCAGGGACGCCTGGTGAGGGGAGCCGTTATAGCAATAGCAATAGCAGTTAGACTTATATACCGCTTCATAGGGCTTTCAGCCCTCTCTAAGCGGTTTACAG